GAGTGCTCTGTGGCCCCAGGTCAGACCACTCCTGTTTCTGGTGCCCTGCTGGTTCTCGGGACTACAGCGCTATCAGAGAACAGATGAAGGACTGCTGTTGTGGCTAGATTCAAGCCCCAGAGTCCGTGATGGTGACAGGACCCCATCATCCGGATCTTGAACCCCATCATGGCCTTGTGCTTGTGTGCATGTGTTTTGCAGAGAAGGAGCCCTCAGTCCTGAGAAAAGTACTGTTGGAGGATGAGGTCTTGGCTGCCATGGCATCTGTCATTGGCACTGCTACCACCCACCTGAGCCCTGAGTAAGTGTAATCATGGATGTGGCTTGAACCCAGGGAAGATAGCATTCTTGGGAAGAAGCAACAGGTAGCTGCCTTGTCAGCTGTCCTTTTACCTATATGTAAATGTGGGTGCAGTTAATTATCTTGTAAGTTTTCCTGACAAAGCAAAAGGAAGGGGCTTTTAGCACCACGGACTATGAGGGTGGGAAGCCATGGGCCAGTGGTTCTTAGCTGCAGATGTGCTTAAGAATTATCTGTAAAGCATTTTAAAATATAAATTGACTTCCCAGATGGGCACTTGAGTGGAAATGGTTACTGGCACGTAATATGCCAAATTAATGTTTGTTCAATGCATGAATGATCAGGGCATGTCCCGTTGACTTAGTGATCCTAATTTGAACCCCAGGTTGAAAAGCACATCTGTGGAGGAGAGGACTGCTTTAGAATCCTAGCTCCTTGGTCATACCTAGTACTCTGCCCCCAGGTTAGCTGCCCAGAGTGTCACACACATTGTGTCCCTCTTCTTGGATGGCAACGTCTCCTTTCTGCCTGAAAACAGCTTCCCGAGCAGATTCCAGCCATTCCAGGTGACAGTCTTAGAACTTATGTCTTTCAAGCTGGTTTTCTAGGGCAATCTGGAATGGGTAGGGGGCAGACAAGCCTATTGCTAGCAAGGCAGGCTTGATTGGGCTCTCCTTCCTTTATAGGATGGCTCCTCAGGGCAGAGGCGGCTGGTTGTACTGCTTATGGCCTTCGTCTGCTCCCTCCCTCGAAATGTAAGTGAGCACATTTGGGGAGTACTGTTTTTAACCTTGACAAGGGGAAGTGGATCCCAGGTGACTCTGGGCTGAAATTTGCCACAGGCTAAGCTGATCTTTTACTTCCCCCATCAGAGAAGTTAGTTCTCATCCATCCTGGCCCCTGCTGCCACTGTGTACTGGTTCTCTTGGAGTTCAAGTGTTCTCTGGGTCCATTACATGGCCAGGTTTTCTGTAGGTGGAAATCCCTCAGCTGAACCAACTCATGCGGGAGCTTTTGGAACTGAGCTGCTGCCACAGCTGCCCCTTTTCTTCCACCGCTGCTGCCAAGTGCTTTGCAGGACTCCTCAACAAGCACCCTGCAGGTACTGAGACCAGACCATATAAGCAGCCTCCCAGAATCAACTAACCATGAAATCTTCTAGCTCAGTCCTCATTCTCTTTTTAAAAGGAGCTTGCTAATAACATTAATAGGACTTCAACTGCTTAAGCACTGTCCTGGGCCTGCCCTTGGGAAAAGCATCAAGACTATAGTTGGGCAGAGCTTTATAGTACCTAAGAAGAGAAGGGAGCACAAAGAGAATGCTGCATCTAGTTCTGCCATCCTACCCCCTACAGTGGGGCTAGTGTGAACAATTCTTTATTAGAAGTAGACAACCCTCTCTTTTCAAATGGCAGCACCCCTGCATTATGAGAATAATAGGCTCTCATGCAGGAGTCCTGTCATTTTGTCCACAGGCGAAAATGGTATTTTCCCTTTCTAACAGCTTCTCAGGGAGCTCTGCACTTAAATGATTTGCATCCTTCATTGTTAAAGGGAAAATGTGAATGTAGCCTCTATGTCAGCATTTCCTCCCTCCTTTTTAGGGCAGCAGCTGGATGAATTCCTACAGCTGGCTGTGGACAAAGTGGAGGCTGGCCTGGGCTCTGGGCCCTGTCGTAGTCAGGCTTTCACTCTTCTTCTCTGGGTAAGGAGTTGGGAGTGGAATCTGGTTAGACAGAGAGGCAATTATGTCTCGTTAAACAAAATGTCCCTTTTTGACTCCAAACCATAAACATCTGTGTCTCAGCGTTCTGGGGTTTGAGTGCCATTCCCCAGTTGCTCTCTCTGTCTCCAATTACAGGTAACAAAGGCCCTAGTGCTCAGATACCATCCTCTCAGCTCCTGCCTTACAACCCGGGTATGTCCTTTCGGAGACAGGAGAACCCAGGACCTAAACAAACTTTCTTGTTAATTCTATTCCTCCCAAAGACTTCTGTCCTCCTCTGTGTATGTGTTTTGTTTTTGTTTTTTAAGATGGGCTCACACTCTGTTGCCCAGGCTGGGGTGCAGTGGTGCAATTACAGCCCACTGCAACTTCAACCGCTGTAGGCTCAGGTGATCCTCCCACCTCAGCCTCCCAAGTAGCTGGGACACAGGCACACCCCACCACACCCAGCTAATTTTTGTGAGAACGGGGTTTAGCCATGTTGCCCAGACTCCTAGGCTCAAGCAATCCACCTGCCTTGGCCTCCCAAAGTGCTAAGATTATAGGGGTGAGCCACCACACCCAGCCCATCCTTGTCTTTGACACTTCTTCCCTGATGTACCTTAAAGGCTCTCTTTTCTCCAGCTCATGGGCCTCCTGAGTGACCCAGAATTAGGTCCAGCAGCAGCTGATGGCTTCTCTCTGCTCATGTCTGACTGCACTGATGTGTTGACTCGTGCTGGCCATGCTGAAGTGCGGATCATGTTCCGCCAGCGGTTCTTCACAGATAATGTGCCTGCTTTGGTCCAGGGCTTCCATGCTGCTCCCCAAGGTGAGGAGTCTGAAAGAAAGGCCCCACACATACATACCTCTCCTTTGCTTGGCCACATTACCCAAGGTAATTTAGGACCTGCTTGCTTCTTTAGAGCTATATTGTGGTCTGTGCCTAGAAGACTGAACTTCTAGATTCTTGTCCCACTTCTTCCTTTGTGGGTGTACCTTGTTTATTCTAAACATGAAGGGCTTTTCACCCCTTTGTAGGCTGATGTCTCTCAGCTTGGTCACAGGTTGGAACTGAATTCTCAAGCTATGTATCTAAGCCCAGTTTCTCTCCTAAGCCTTCCCATTTTTTTTTACAGATGTGAAGCCAAACTATTTGAAGGGTCTTTCTCATGTACTTAACAGGCTGCCTAAGCCTGTGCTCTTGCCAGAGCTGCCCACGGTAAGTCCTGCAGGCAGAGCCTCTTAAGTGAAGGACAATTCTTTCCCAGATGGGGCTAGAAAGGGAGGATACAAGAACCAGGATCTTCATGATGTGGCCATCCCACACCTTGCCCATTGCCCCTTAGCTTCTTTCCTTGCTGCTGGAGGCCCTGTCCTGCCCTGACTGTGTGGTACAGCTCTCCACCCTCAGCTGCCTTCAGCCTCTTCTACTGGAAGCACCCCAAGTCATGAGTCTTCACGTGGACACGCTTGTCACCAAGTTTCTGAACCTTAGCTCTAGCCCTTCCATGGTATGTTGAGCCCCAGCAACTCTCAGGAACCAGCAGCTCTCCCTGGGTCTGCTCTCACCTCCTTGTGGTTGTGTTCCAGGCCGTCCGGATCGCTGCACTGCAGTGCATGCATGCTCTCACTCGCTTGCCCACCCCTGTGGTAAGTACCTGAGGTGCCCCTCCCTGGCCTGGGACTGTCTCAAGAGACATAAATACCTTTTTGCCTTAGTTGAGCAGTGGGCTTGGCCACCTTGCTGTGTAATTGAGATATGAATTACAAGGTACAGATAAGCAAGGATTATTTTCCTTGGGCTCAGAAGGTAACAGAATGGCCATCCTGCCACTTAACATCCCTTGGAATCACTAAAGATGTTTCAGTTTCCTCAGAGTATTAGTTGTACAGAATCAAAAAAGGGGCACTTTCAGTTGCCTTGGATGAGCAAGGTTGATTAAATCCTCTGACTCCACAGCTGCTGCCATACAAACCACAGGTGATCCGGGCCTTAGCCAAACCCCTGGATGACAAGAAGAGACTGGTGCGCAAGGAAGCAGTGTCAGCCAGGGGGGAGTGGTGAGTTTCTAGGCCATGGGGAGAGATGGGACCAAGATGAGCCTCACCACTCATGCTCCCAACTTTCTTTTTGCCTACAGGTTTCTGTTGGGGAGCCCTGGCAGCTGAGCCCTCAGTCCTGGCCTAGACTGTTCTGACAATCTAACCTGGAATTACTAACCATCGAGCCATCTTCCCCAAAGCAGGGCAACTACTGGCCTCTGACTGCCTTTCCTACAGACACAGCACAAATGCTAGGCCTCTGTTGCATGGCTGTACAAGGAGCATAAGAGTCCAGATTTCTAGTGGATTTGTGCATTAACTGTGAGACACTCGTGTTTGAAGAAAGATCTAGGGTCTTGGGTCTCTTGCATTTGTATGTCAGAAAGGGGGTGATGTGCTGCTGAGGGGTGAGTGCCTACGACTGTGGCCCTGAGGACCAGGGCTGACGGCTGTGTGTACACCTGCTGAAGAATAAAGATGTCTTTTGGTAATGGGACTGTCAGATATTTCCCCCACCCAACATATGTCTCTTAGAACCGGAGGCGTCACTGAACTAAGCTGGAAGAACAATTATGACAGGGAGTGGCCAAAAATTTTTCAGGGTAACCAACACAGTAACTCATGCCTGTAACCCTAACACTTTAGGAGACTGAAGCAGGACCCATGTCTACTAAAAATGGAAAAATTAGCCAGGTGTGGTGGCACACGCCTTTAACACAGTTACTTGGGAGGCTGAGGCACAAGAATTGCTTCAACCTAGGGGGCGGAGGTTGCAGTGAGTTGAGATCATGCCACTGGACTCTACAGCTGGGCAACAGAGTGAGACTCCGTCGCCAAAAAGTTAAAAAAACAAAATACAAGAGGCATGACCAGAATACCTACTCAGTAGGTCTTGACACTGACTTTTCCCTTCCCCACCCTATTGTGAGGCAGAGTGAGGAGCTACAGATCTTTAAAAACCGAATACCTTTATTTTTGCTCCCTTCAGCAGCATGTGAGAAGTGGCAGTGACCTCAGCAGCAGGCCTGGTATCTGTGCCCTGTTGAGAAGCCAGGATCTCAGCTGTACTAGTCAGGTGTTTTTTCAGACAGCAAGTAGAAGTGGTGGCCAACTCCAATGCTGTATCCTGGAGGAGGTCTGGGTCAGCACTGGGCAAGGTAGGTAGCTAGCTGCCTGACCCCTAGTCTGGGGCTGGAACTTCTGTTTGCCTGAGTAAAGGGATGTCAGTCCTAAGATTTCTCCACATTGTGTCTTGCTTCTGCAGTGGCGAAAAGGCTGGTCCTTGAATTGTCCTGCATGGTACCCTAAGGCAGGCCCACTGGCTCTTTTTGATCAAGGATTCCAAGAAAAGCTGCCGTTGGAGGCCCTTGAAATAACATAGGAAGCAGAATGAGTCCTCGAGTTGTGGCTGACACAGTCCAGCTCACACTGCCATCACAGAGGCTGAGTGAGCAGTCACCCAGGGAGGGGGCTCCCAGCTCATTCCATTCCCATGGGGCAGGTGACTAGAAGGTAAGAGCACCCGAGTAAGCCAATGCCTAGAAGAGAAGAGAGAAATCTGTCCGAGTTCCAAGAATACTTGGTCCTTCTTAATCATTCCCTAGCAAGCATACATCAAGGTATCCTGAAGCTACCTCAGTGTCAATCATGAAGGTAACAAAAGTTCTCATTTCTTCTACCCAATTTTATCCAACAAATTGTACCTTCTGGTGCCTTGAAGGCCTTTTGAGGTTTCATGCTAAACTTCTAAAGGGCCACTGTAAGCACAGTGATAGGAGGAGTATCATATGCGTGGGACAGGGATGAGGGAAGGCACATCCACTCATCTACTGCCTCAGTAACTGCCATTTGGAAAAGTGTTTCCCCTTGTCTTGGGCTGAGAGAGCTAGCTCCAATTACTGTCTTAGGGCCTCTGTCACAAATAGCTTATTTTAATCTCACAAATTATTGGCTTGAACTCTAGACACTGCTCTCCAAGTGAGAGGTGATTAGTGGCCAATGCATCCCACACCCAGAGGCCCCTTCCTGAGCACAGCTTTCCTAGGATTCTACTATAGTCATGTTGAAGCCTCATCTGTTACTTACAACTACACAGCGTTAGCCTCTCGCCTCTCCGGCTCACATGAACAATGATCTCTATTCCTAGAGTCTAGAATTGCACTAACACAGTAGCCACTAGTCATATTCCAAGTGCTCACAGGTATAAAACATCTTCCTCATCGCAGCATTCTGTTGGACGGCATTAGTCTATGTGGTTTACGTTACCTTCCTGTATCCACACCCAGGAATACCTTCCAGTTGTCCAAGCAGCCGTAGTTGTAAGGATTCCTAAATACCTGGAGCCAAGAAGAAAAAACATTTCTTCAAACTTCTAATTTTTGATCAGGTAGAGTAGTTCTGGCCTTTTACAATGCTTGCATTAGCCCTGCCCCTGGCCTCTGTTTACAGGAGAGCAGGTTCAGTTACCCAGCTACCCACCCTGAGCCTTCAACCCTACTCACTCTGCCCTTGGCCTGTAGCCGACGTCTCTCCTTCTTGTTGATGTGCCTTTCAATGCTAGTCTCACCTCGACTGATGAGAACAGCATGCCATACAGTTAGGGCACCCAGGGCAAGCGCCACAGAACTAAAAAAAAGAGGGGCAAAGACTGGTAGGTAGTTTAGAGAAGGCTGGAAGAAGTATGTCTGAAATTGAGCTAAGCAGTAACCACTGGCTTGTAACCTCTCTACCTAAGTCTTCCTCACTGCCCGGCATATATCCTAGATAAACTTTTACTTCACTATGTCTATAAAGAGCATCAGTGAAAAAGTTTCAGTGTGGCCTAAGAATAAACAATGTGAACCCAGGCATGGTAGCTCATGCCTAGTAGTCCCAGCAACTCAGGAGGCTGAGATACGAAAATCATTGGAGTCTACCCTGGGCAACATGCAAGACTCCATCTCTTTGTTGTTGTTGTTGTTGTTGTTGTTGTTGTTAAGGGAAAGTAACAGAGTATGTGGAAAGGAGGGTAGAGAAATAAGTCTGTATTACTAAGAAAATGTTCTATAGTTCCTAAAATACCCACGCTTGGGAGATAGTAGGAGGTAGTAAAAGCACCCATGGTTCGACTGGGATGGCATGAAATTCCCATTCCAGTGCTACCACTCCTACTAGCTGTGTGTCATAGAACAAGTCACTTCACTAACCCTTGGCCCCGAATTTTCAGTTTCCCTCATCTGTAAATACAGTCACTCAGCCTTTAGACAGGTGCTATGAAGATTAAACTTTGGTACATATCAGCATATGCTTGTATCCGTGTGCTTAGTAACAAGCAATGCCAATATCCTCAGTGTTCCCTGCCCCGAAATGCTGAAGAAAGTGCTGGCTCTTTGCGAACCTAGACTAAAACAGTGGCAGTTCACTCAGGCATGGGTTTCTACCTTGCATGTGGCACCTAAAAAAACTTTTTTCTAAAGTTTCCCCTCCCTTAAAACTATAAAAAATGAGAAATAAATACCTGCACAGGAACCAGAGGTAGACAAGACTCTTATGAGTCATCCTTTCTCGAAAGGAGAAGGTGGGTGGTGGGGTCTGGTGGTAAGTCTAGAAAAAGAAAACAGCAGAGCCTGGCTCATTTACTCTGTGGGTCTCCAGCAACCGCCCCTGGCACCTATAGGCAGGAAGTGATCCAAACCCAGGCAGAGAAAACAGGGTAAAGCCACAGAGGAGTCAAGGCAGCAGCCAAGATGGGTGGACCAAGCCCAGCGGCATCACCACGTGGACAAACACTGGGCAGCAGAGCAGGGTCTGGACAGGATGGCAAAGCACAGGAGGAACTGACCCTGGGCCTTGACAGCACAAATGGGGCTCCAGGGGAAGCCGCTCCAATCCCCAGCCAGAACTCCTTCACTGTGCGCTGCATCCCCAAGGGAGGAGACCAGACCGTACCCAGAATGGACTGACTGGGGTGGGGAGAACCACTAGGGACTGTGAATGGGCAGCAGAAATGCATCAAGATGGGCCCAAGATGGGCTCAGCAGATTAAGGAGTCCTAAAAGGTTCTGGGGAGCAGGGATGATCCAGATGCAGATGGACCAGGAGCAAGGGATGATCAGACTGGCTCAGCCTGATCTCTGTCCCCTGGAACCCCATTACACAGACTAACATAGACTCCTTGCTGCTCAGGCTGTCACCGAGGTGGATTGCTTTTTTGGCCCAAAGATAGGTGATGACGGGATAGGTAGCCAAAACTGTCACATACCAGGGACTTCCAGCTTGCCTGTAGGTCACTTAGTCTACCCACCACAGCCAGCCTGCCTGAACACTCCTGATCTGGTCTACAGTGGCCTCTGAGCAGCCTCTACAACTACACCGGCAGGTCGGCCCCAGGTGCCTGAGAACTCTATGCCCCCAGGCCTGAGCAGCAGGAGGCAGTGGGGTGGGGACAGCCCACCTGGTTGGCAACCGCCTGTAGTTTGTTCTTGTCGAGCTGTTTCATTTTCTAAGGGGATGGAAAACAGTGCTGGTTATACTCTCAGGCCTCTAGGATGGGGTGTCCCTTAGGGACAGGTTCTGCATCCCCAAGTTCTGCACTACTGAGCTGCCTTGTTCCTGACAATGAGCTCACCTCGATGGCAGCATAAGCCTCCCGGAAAAGGTCCCAACTTCCATAGCTGCAGTAGACACAGCCCAGAGTCATGAAGAAGCAGAAAGAGAAGAAGTACCGATGGTTATAGTGGCCCACACAATTGTTTAGCCAGGCTGGTTGGCAAATGATTAAGGACAAGAATCAAACACAATTTCAAATGGTGTCCAGGCCCCTCTGGTTCATGACAACATTACCCAAGCTTCAGGCTTCCAGTCACTAAGAACTACTTTCCAAAGGCAGGAAAATACAAGACTGTTTACACCCAAGGTTGAGGTGAAAGTGCTCAAAGTTTTTCAGAGCACTCAAGTCCCACCAGGAAGTCACGGAAACTGAAATCCTTCAGAAAAATCAATCTGCCGATATTTCAGCCTAGCCGGAGTTAGCCAAACATCTGTGTGGAACAGCACATGGGTACCCACAGTTCTATCTGGCGTACCCAGCGGACAACCACAGAATCCCAAACATCTCTTCCCATCCAATAGCTATTAGCATGAGAATCTACAAAACAAAGAGTTGTTAAAAGAGTCCTTGATCCAAGATCTGTCCTAGTGTGTCTGGAGCTTCCTTCTCCCCCAGGAGATGGTCAGCCCCCACAACTCCTCAACTCCAGTGTTCTCTGCAGGGTGATGCTAGAATTGTGGCCACTAACTCTGTACAGTACTCTGGCGCTAAAGAAGGCCTCGGGCAGAATGGAAAGCAAAAGGATACGGCAGTGATGATCCATCTTCAGCACACACCTGTGAGGAAGGGACACAGGCTCTGTTACGGTGGCCAAAGTTCTTGAGATGTCAGTGCCAATCCTTTCCTACAAGGACCAGCATCCTGCTGAGGTGGAAAGGGCACAGACTTTGAAGACAGCCAGGCCATGCTTCAAACCCAGCTCTGCAGCTTAATGGCAGTAAGATATTGGACAAGATAACTTAATCTTGCCAAGCCTCTGTTTTCACAAGTGGTAGTAATACCTAACTCACAGGACCATCCTGAAGATGAGGTGTCAGAAGAGGGTGCCTGGGACATGAAAGGTGCTTCATCCATGTCCTAGCAAACTCAAGGTTAGGTTTTGCCCTAGGGCTACAGCAGAAGGACCACAGCGGGGGTTCCCAGAGAGCAAAGCCAAGACCCACCTGTTGCAGATGCTGCAGTGGTGTGTTCTGGCTGGCTTGGGGTAAATACATTTCTTACAGATGGAGACCATGGCAATATCATTCCTGCCCTGTGTGAAGGGAGAGCATAACTCTCTCAAAACATACCAAGGTACTCTTCCCACGCCTGGGACCAGCTCCCATAGCCAGCAACTCCCCCCAGTTCCCCTGTGAAGACCCACCTGGGGTGGGTATCCAGGCGGAGTGGTGATGGCCTGGTAGTAGTGGAAGACAATGAGGATCAGATTCCAGTGGCTATAAAAGAAATGCCAGCAGAGTCGTGGCACTGAATAGGTTCGGAGGATGAGAGGCAGGACACACAGGTAGGCAATAGCCACAATGGAGCCTGTCAGCACAATCACCAGCACCACGAACACCTGCCAACACCAGCGAGGTCAAGGAGACATGGTGTAAGAGCTACACCCAAAGCAGACTCGGAGTTTCCCTGAGGGTAGGGGCCACCCCCAAAACCTGAGTTGGGTCTGTCAGAGACATGTCCCTCTGCTCCCCACAACACCCCTTTTCCTGCTCCCTGGACATCACTCACCACTCCAAACCAGCGGATCACGTTGTCTACCAGCCAGTAGACAGGCTCAAAGGCGGCATCGACAGCAGTGTCACTGCCCCCAAAGGAGTTGTAGAGCAGGGAGCGCAGGCAGACCTTGCCATAGCGCCAGCGCTGTACTAGACCCCGGAGCAGAGGTGGACAGCGGCGCCTGTAGCCCAGCAGCAGAAGCAGGCGGAGGCAGAGGCGGGCCGGGCCCAGCAGCAGGCTCCGCTGGCCTCGCATGGTTCCTAGGAGAGCACACCATTGTGAGAATCCAGCCTGAGTCCTTCCTCCCTAACCTGCTAGTGGGAAGGCCTAGAGTACTCACTCAAAGGGCAAAGAACTAAGTACTAAGACCCAGCTAGGCAAGTCACCAGCTGTGAGAAATAGGAAGGTTCCTTTTCTATGGACTGGCCAGTGCCAGTGTCACAACCAGATTAATGGGGTAGAGACTGATGGTTCCGAACCTGCAGAAATCGTATTTATATTACACCACAGGGCTGCACAGCAAATCCAAGGTGATGCACACCTAAAGCAACAGGCCACAGTAAAAGGGGTGAGAAAGGCCACTCCAAGCCAAAGCAATCTTAGGAGCTGTCTGTGTAGGAAGACCTTTGGGTGGAGTGTGGCCAACATGGACAAAGCTGCTCACTGTGTCTCAGACATGGCCACCATAGCACAGATTACCAGGGGCTTCCTAACTGCCCTGGAGCATCAACCTACCTCCAAACAATTGCTCCTCACCAGCCAGTGGAGGAGTGAGTGCACAGAATGTGGATCCTGCGCTGAGATATTCCTGGTGCTATTTAAGTCTTGGCAAAAGATACTCCTCCTTCCTACTCCCTCTGGGCTGACGTCATAGCTAGCGGACTCAACCTGGTAGCATGAGATTCCCTGTCTCCTGTCAGGACAGCCAGCTACCCCTCGCGTGACAGAAGACGATTTGTCTCCAGTTCTACTCCCAGCCCCACCCCAAGGACACGGTAGCCAAGATAACTCTAGGTGTTCAGAGCAGAATACCACAGGAAGGAGTCATAAGCCATGGGAGGGTACCTCCATGTTGGTTCATGAAGGCCTTGGAGCCTGACCTCTCTGATGGACTCCACCGCCCCAGTCTAATGAGACACTCACAAAACCTCTGCAGCTGCTGCCTTAGCGCCTAGCTGCCCAACCAGACTTCCCAGTTCACTGCTTCCATGGCACCTCTGCCAGTGCCTCTGTCTCCTCTATGCAGTTAGTACCTCATCCAGCAGCCATGGGAAGAGATCAGCTGCCTGGACAGTGACCAGAACAGAAGACACAGATGTGCTAACAGATCTTTCGATGACAGTTTCATCAGCTCTGCAGATAAAAGACTTTTATTACCAGAAAAGAAATTACCTGATTTTGCCCTGAGGCAGCCCGGGAGAGCTGCTTTGTCCCTGACAACCCCACTGACTTATTTAACAAGTAGCTCAAAACCCAACAGAAACTGGAGGAGGCTGCTCCACTGCATGGGTTTCAATTCAGTAACTGGAGCGTTGTACTCTCCTTGTACCCTGGCTCATCTCCACAAAAGACCTTTCAAAGAAAACACTTAATTACCTCCCTGCACAAGCCCTGTAAGCCCTAAGATGAAAAGAAAGTAAGCAGACAAGGCTTACAGAGAAAGACACGACACTTCAGTAGGGACCTACACTCAGCACCAGTATTAAGAGACTGTCCATTCCTATCACCTCCTAATAAGCTAAATGAATTAAGGGGAGTATAGAAAAAGAAAAAAAGGCCAGGCGTGGTGGCTCACACCTGTCATCCCAACACTTTGGGAGGCAGATCACTTGGGGTCAGGAGTTTGCAACCAGCTGACCAACATGGTAAAACGCCATCTCTACTGAAAATACAAAAAATTAGCTGGGCATGGTAGCACATGCCTGTAATCCTAACTACTCAGGAGGCTGAGGCAGGAGAACTGTTTGAACCCAGGAGGTGGAGGTTGCAGTGAGCCGAGATCGTACCAGTGTACTCCAGCCTGGGCAACAGAACAAGACTCCATCTCAAGAAAAAAAAAAAAAATCTCAAACTTCCACTCCTACTGTTTGGAACCATGATTTGATTTGTAGCATGAGTTTTTAAAATAGCAGATACACACAATCAAATGTGAAGAGTGGGACAAAACAGATTGCTCCACAACAAATCTAGGTGGCTTTTGGACATCCACACCACTGTTGTTCCCTTTCTACAGATAATGGAGAGTTCCCTATTTGCCTAAATACTGTTTGTAGCAATATCGAATGTGAGAAATAGGAAGCCAAATTTTGTAGCAAAATCCAGTGCATTCCTCATTTGTAATAAATTCATATTATATACTATCTCACACCTCTTCTACTGTTTTTTTTTGAGATGGAGTTTTGTTCTTGTTACCCAGGCTGGAGTGCAATGGCGCGATCTCGGCTCACCGCAACCTCCACCTCCTGGGTTCAAGCAATTCTTCTGCCTCAGCCTCCCGAGTAGCTGGGACTACAGGTGCATGCCACCATGCCCACCTAATTTTTGTATTTTTTTTTTTTAGTAGACACAGGGTTTCACAATGTTGACCATGGATGGTCTTGATCTCTTGACCTCGTGATCCACCCGCCTCGGCCTCCCAAAGTGTTGGGATTACAGGCGTGAGCCACGGTGCCCGGCCACACCTTTTCTACTCTTAAAAAAAAGTCTTAGCCAGGCGCGGTGGCTCAAGCCTGTAATCCCAGCACTTTGGGAGGCCAAGGTGGGTGGATCACAAGGTCTAGAGATCGAGACCATCCTGGTCAACATGGTGAAACCCCGTCTCTACTAAAAATACAGAAAAATTAGCTGGGCATGGTGGCGCGTGCCTGTAATCCCAGCTACTCAGGAGGCTGAGGCAGGAGAATTGCTTGAACCCAGGAGGCAGAGGTTGCGGTGAGCCGAGATCGCGCCATTGCACTCCAGCCTGGGTAACGAGCGAAACTCCGTCTCAAAAAAAAAAAACAAGTCTTTCTATTCTCCACTTTTCATATTACTCTCAACCATGTTCTAAATTCTTGAGCACTACAGGAAATGCCTGCCTCAAGGACTAGATTTACACAATTCCTTAGGGTTCAATTCTGTCCCTAAGCAGTTCTGTAACCTCATACAAATCTTTTTTTTTTTTTTTTTTTTCAAGATGGGGTTTCACCATGATGACCAGGCTGGTCTTGAACTCCTGACCTCAGGTGATCCACCCACCTCGGCCTCCCAAAGTGCTAGGATTACAGGCGTGAGCCACCATGCCCAGCCAACCTGAGACAAATCATTCAACCCTGCTAGGACTCAATATCCTTGTGTTCACATTCAGTGAGGGAGTGGGATTAAATGCTAAGATCCTTTCGAGCTCTAACCCTTTATAATTCTGTAACTATACAGTTAACCCCCGTATCTGCAGAGGGACTGATTCCAGTCCTCCCCTCAGATACCAAAATCCATGGATGCTCAAATCTGATATAAAAAGGCAGAGTATTTTCATATAACCTACACATATCCTCCCATGTACTTTAAATCATTTCTAGATTACTTACAATACCTAATACACAAATGCTACATAAACACTTTTTTTGTTTGTTTTTGAGATGGAGTCTCACTCTGTTGACCAGGCTGTAGTGCAGCGGCAAGATCTCAGCTCACTGCAACCTCCGCCTCCTGGGTTCAAGCAGTTTTCCCTGCCTCAGCCTCCCACCTTGCCCAGCAAATTTTTGTATTTTTAGTAGAGACGGGGTTTCACAATGTTGGCCAGGCTGGTCTCGAACTCCTGATCTCAGGTGCTCTGCCTGCCTTGGCTTCAACCAAGTGCTGGGATTACAGGCGTGAGCCACTATGCCTAGCCACCCCCAAATATTTCCAATCCATGGTTGGTTGAATCCTCGATGTGAAACTCAAAGATATGAAGGGCAAACTGTACTTGGTAATTTAAGTGAAATGTTTATAAAGCACTTAGCACAATACCTGGCTCATGGAAGTACTCAATAAATATCTGTTGAATGAATGACCTGGAGGGATGCAGAAGTGGAAAGCCCGGCCAGATGTCTTATCTGTCCTACAAATACCAACAAGGACACTCCTGCCAATGTGATAACACTAAATAAGTGTCTGCTGCTATCATTCTTCCTGATTCATAAAGAGAGAAATACAAACTATTATTAACATCATAGCACTTAGGAGCTAGAAGTCGTTTTTTAAAACAAGCCCAATCAGAAATCGGCCCAACTATGTAAACAGCTCCTAGACACCGGACGCAGGGGCTCATGCCTATAATCCCAGCACTCTGGGAGGCCAAGGTGGGCAGATCACCTGAGGTCGGGAGTTCGAGACCGGCCTGACCAACATGGAGAAACCCCCGTCTCTACTAAAAATACAAAATGAGCCAGGCATGGAGGTGCATGCCTGTAATCCCAGCTACTTGGGAGGCTGAGGTGGGAGAATCACTTGAACCTGGGAGGTGGAGGTTGTGGAGAGTCAGGAGATCATGCCATTGCACTCCAGCCTGGGCAACAGAGCCAAAACTCCATCTCAAAAAAAAAAGAAGAAGAAAAAGAAGAAAAATAAAGCTCCTAGATGCATAGATACAGATTTATGTGAACAAAGTCTGAGGCTAGGGCCTCTCCCCTTTAGCTAATGGGGTAGGGGATTCCAGGAAAATGATATATATAGTAAGTGGGCCACAACTGAACATACAGACTTTTCATCTCAGGACATTGAGGTAAAGCAAAATTCAAAAAGATGTGTGTGGGGAAGAAGGGCAAAGTGCAGCTTCACTACCACTCCAAGCGGAAGCCCCAAGTACTCTGATCCCTCAGAGTAGTCGCCACAGGCCATAGTCATAATCTGCCACCAGACTGGAGGAGACTACAGGCCACAGCCTCCCCTCTTCCCATGGCTCTAAGTCACCATCTGTTTCCCAAGGGGAAAGTCGACTGAGGGAACAGGGACAGACGGCCAAAGCCAAAGCCATCAGAATTCAGATGAACTGAGATCAAAGACGCTGCTCTTAGGATGTTTGCAGTTCCAAGTAGGAGATACCAGACATCACTGAAGAGTAGCACTTTATTCATGTGCAGATCTCCCTTCTGGGCTAACGCGCTGAGAAGAAAAAGAATAGCAACTTTATTTTGGGGCTGCTTTTCATGAGGGGTCCACACAACCAGAGCTCGACTTTTTCAACCTGAGAAAGCTCACTGAAGTAGGGATGGGGGGCCGCGAAGAGGATCAGAACACAGGACTGAAAGCTGCAGTTTAAAAAACCGGGGAAAGAGCCAGGCGCGGTGGCTCACGCCTGTTATCCTAACACCTTGGGAGGCCGAGGCGGGTGGGTCACCTGAGGTCAAGAGTTCGGGACCAGCCTGGCCAACAAGGTAAAACCCTGTCTCTAAGTACAAAAATTAGCCAGGCATGGTGGCACGCGCCTGTAATCCCAGCTGCTCGGGAGGCTGAGGCAGGAGAACTGCTTGAACCCAGGGGGCGTAGATTGCAGTGAGCCGAGATCACACCACTACACTCCAGCCTGGCGACAGAGCGAGACTCCATATATATATACATACATAAAACAAAAACAAAAACAAAAAACGGAAAAGGTTTTATTTCTCAATGAGAGCCACGAGGTGAAACTGCGACGGACTGCAAGTCAAAAACCGTGGGTTCCAGTTTGGGCTCTTATCTTAGCTATCTTCAAGATTTTGGACAAGCCAAACCCTGTCTCTGAATCTGAGGTTCCCCATCTGTGAAATGGAGGAGTTGGGTCGCTTGACCTCCTTCCTTCCTGCTCTACGCCTAACGGTTGCTCGGAAGGTGTGCTCCGGCGGAGGAGGGCACGGCCCCGCAGGGCGGGGCGGGGAGAGAGCAGGAACCCGGACTCAAGACAAGGCCCCAGGGCAGTGCCCGACCCAGAAAAAGGGACTAGGATGGGGAGCAAGGGCCGAGGCTTCGCCCTTACCTGCCGCCTGCCGACTCCCCAGTCAGCCAAACCGAGCCTCTCAGCCTCTGCCGCCGCTCACTGCCACCCCCTCTGACTCGGCGCCCCGGCCGGGCCGGGCTCAATCCAACCCACCATGGCCCGCAGCCCGCAGCGCCAGCCAGCGCAACCGGACCCGCCGCCAGCCCATCCTCAACCACACGCACAGTCGCAAGCGCGGAGCTCTGAAGTTCCGCCCCCGGATTTGTCCCGGAGTAATCTGGGATATTGAGTTTACCCGCAAGGAGGTACTCCTACAGATCACGTGATAAAGAACACCAATTGACGCAAGTCTTACTCTGGCACTGTACCTGGGTTTGGCCAATGAGAAGTCGACTTTGTTTCCATCCGGGTTTTGGTACAGCGGCAATCATGGCGCCACCCGTCAGATACTGCATTCCCGGTAAGTGAGCGCTGCCCTTACAGAGTCCTGGATGGAGGTCAAAGATGGAAGGCTGGACGGCCGGTAGCTTCTGGGGGCCAGTGACTGATAGAGCATTTTTTTCTGCAGGCGAACGTCTGTGTAATTTGGAGGAGGGCAGCCCAGGCAGTGGCACCTATACCCGCCACGGTTACATCTTTTCGTCGCTTGCCGGCTGCCTGATGAAGAGCAGCGAAAACGGCGCGGTAAAGGGAGCGGCTTGCCATCTCCTCTCTCTGTTTTCTCTTAGGCTTTCATTAAGTTCCAGTTCTTAGGCATGGGCACTGCGGACGCGTCTTTAGCGCCTCACCGGTACAGCGTTGGTCTTGGTTTCTTCTAGCCGTGATCGCCGCTATTGTGCACTTAGACACCACAAACTAGTTGTGTTGATCTCGCTTCCTTGTGCTGCTGACCCTCGGGGAGGGAGGTTGGGACGAAAGCAGTTGTGAACTCAGTAACCCAGCCCAGCCCATCAGTGAGTTTCATACTGTATAAATGTCGCTTATCTCTCCGGCTTTATCTTGCGCCACCATCTCCACCTCACTGACGCAATCTAGTCATACTGTCTTTTCTGCTTTTAAAATTTATAATCACAGTCTCTGCTTGCTCTTTTAAAAATATTTATGACATACTAGCTTCTCTCAATGTCGCTAATGCACCAAGCTTTCTCCTGCTACAGAGCCTTTGTAACATGCCACCTATCTGGAACGCTTCTGTCTTCCTAGGCCAATTTAATTCCTACCTCCTTTAGATAGCTTCTGTACTATCAACTTCTCAGAGAAGCCCTTCTGGACCCAGTAATTGAGGAAAGGGGTTTTCTGGGTTGTTTTTGTTTTTGTTTGTTTTGTTTAAGACTCACAAAGACCTCTGTTCCTTTTATTCCAAACATTTATGTCAGCATATGATTAGACACTCAGGTATATGATTCCCACCAGACTTCTCCCTGCTTGAATCTAAGTTCCATGAAAGCAGGCCCTACCACCATACATTCAGTATCTAGCACAAGGCAGCTCCTCAATAAATGTTTGTTGAATGCGTAATACCAAACTTTCTAGTTTTAGAAATTGATCTAGGATTAGCTCAGGATCGCATAAGCAATATTTGAAGGAGCACGATAGAAAGAGGATTCAGAATTAGAACACATAGGTTCTAGCTAACTAGATCTTGATTCTGCTTTGAGTAAGTAATTTAAGCTGTCTGATTCAAGGGGCTTTCTATTCAGTCATTCTTGGGAATGTCCTTAACAGTCCTGAGTTTCTTCACTTCACAGATATCATCTGAGTGTTTTCATGTGTCAGGCACAGCACTGACTTGGTTTCTGCTATCAAAGGACACAGACACAAATTGTAAAATAAATGCTCAAATTGTATATGGTTACATATTTGGTGACTGCTTAAAAGAATATTACAGGGCACCTTGAAAACATGTAACAACCAAACCCACCCTAGTCAGCAGAAGTGACGTTTAAGCTGAATCATCTAAAGAGTAAGTAAGAATTGGGTGGATGGAGATAGTGTAGTTCTGGCAGAAAGAACGGGTTGAAGAGAGATCCAAAAGTGGGAAGAATTTAGTAAGTCAGGGAAACTGAAAGAAGGCCAGGAGAGCTGAAGCATCGTGAGTAAGGGAGAGATTGATAAAAGATGAGGTTCAAAATATCTGTCTTGGGCTGGGCGCGGTGGCTCACGCCTGTAATCCTAGCACTTTGGGAGGCTGAGGTGGGTGGATCACCTGAGGTCAGGAGTTCAAGGCCAGCCTGGCCATCATGGTGAAACCCCATCTTTAAAAAAAAAAAAAAAATCTGTCTTATACCAACAGCCAATACCATGCTCAAAGAGCAAACTGCAGCTATTCACTTAAAATAGAAGAAAACAAGCATGGCCACTGTTATGTAACATTTTTGTGGAAATTTCATCCTATGCAAACAATAAGAAACAGAAAGAAGCAGTATAACTTTGGTGGAAAGAGTAAAATTGTCAGCTGGGTGCGGTGGCTCACTCCTGTAATCCCAGCACTTTGGAAGGCCAAGGCAGGTAGGTGGTCAGGAGTTCGTGACCAGCCTGGTCAACATGGTAAAACCCTGTCTCTACTAAAAATCCAAAAAATTAGCTGGGCATGGTGGCAGGCGCCCATAATCCCAGCTACTTGGGAGGCTGAGGCAGGAGAATCACTTGTACTCAGGAGGCGGAGGTGGCAGTGAGCCAAGATCGTGCCACTGTACTCCAGCCTGGGCAACAAGAGTGAAACTCCATCTCAGAAAAAAAAAAGAAACAAATTGTCCATGATTACAGGCAATATAGTTGTATATACCAAGAAATTCCAAGAGAATCGCCAAAAAACTTACTAGAACTCATCTAGAATAGTGAGATTTATGTCTTAGCAGCATTCTGTAGCCTCTTGGTCCTACTGTTTCCTAAAGTTTCTAAGGCCTTCTGCTCTGGACTATAAATGAATCCGTACTCAAGCTCTCAACTGTGTACTAAGGCATTTCTATGTTACTGTCAAGCCACAAATGCCTTGACCCATTAGCCAGGACATTTCAGTTTTTTGTTTTTCCCTCTGTAGCTTCCTGTGGTGTCTGTAATGAGAGAAACAGAGTCCCAATTACTGCCAGATGTGGGAGCTATTGTAACCTGTAAGGTAAGACGGTCCTAACCTCCATGCTTTGAATGCCCATTCAATACTGAAATCATGATCATGCTACAACTGCAGTGTCCAGTATGATAGCCACAAGCTACATATGGCTACTTAAGCAGTATTAAAAATTTATTTCTGGCTGGGTGCAGTGGCTCATACTGGAATTCTAGCACTCTCGGAGGCCAAGGCAGGAGGATTGCTTCAGCCCAGAGTTTAAGACTATCCTGGGAAACATAGTGAAACCTCATCTCTACAAAAAGAATCAAAAATTAGTCAGGCATGGTAGCACATGCCTGTGGTCCTAACTACTTGGGAGTCTGAGGCAGGAGGATCGCTTGAGCCCAGGGGGTTGAACCTACAGTGAGCCATGATCGCTTCAGCCTGGGTGACAGGGCAAGACCCTGTCTCTCAAAAAAAAAAAAAAAAAATTATTTCCTTAGTCACATTAGCCACATTTCAAGTACTCAGTAGCCACTTGAGGCTAATGGCTGCCGTACTGGTCAGCACATGACTTTTCTATCATGACAGAAAGTTTTACTGGACTGTGCTGGTCTACACATTTCTAGGATAATAATCAAGGCAGCCAAGTTCAGGCATGTGCAGTTCCTTCACTCAGTTGATTCCCAGAATATATAGTTTCTACCTGTGTCTGGGAAACAGGATGCCAGAGGACGATTAAGAGGCCTGTTTTTGAACAGCTTAAGCTGAGACCTTTTTCTGCAGAAAAGCAAAAGACTTTATTTTCTGGCATTCCTGGATTTGATTTTTTTATCTCTTTTTTTTTTTTTTTTTTTTTTTTTTTTTTTTTTTTTGAGACAGGGTCTTGCTCTATTGCCCAGGCTAGAGTGCAGTGGCGTGATCTCAGCTCACTGCAGCCTCCACCTCCTGGGTTCAGGCAATTCTCCTGCCTCTGCCTCTCTATTAGCTGGGATTACAGGCATGTGAATAGACAGGGTTTTACCTTCTTGGCCAGACTGGTCTCAAACTCGGCCTCAAGTGATCCACCCACCTCGGCCTCCCAAAGTGCTGGGATTACAGGGATGAGCCTCCGTGTCCAGCCTGTTTTTTTGTTTCTGTTTTTGTTTGAATGTTAGCCTTCTATACTTTTAAAAATCTATACCTCTCTGAAGGGCAAGTTATGAGAAGATTTTTTTTAAAACACCATATTATTTGATTCCCATAGTAATTATCAGTTGCAGTGAGCTGAGATTGCACCACTGCACTCCAGCCTAGTTGACAGAGTGAAATCCTGTCTCAAAAACTAAATAAATAAATTAAAGTAAAAAGAGTGAAGCTGAAGTTTAGTAGTGTCAGGATGACTCAAACCAAAATAGAAGGCATTTTAGGAAGTACTTTTTTTTTTAAATTTAATATCTATCAGGTGGCCAAAGTGACTCTTACTCCCCTTTACATGTATCACTTATGCAGAGAGAAGTAGGATTTTACTTGTCTTAAATTCTGTACTTAGTAGGGTTGATTGCACTGAAGTCCTAGTAATTCCCAGTTTATTGCTGCCTCCTTGAGCTGGCAACTGCTTATACTCTGATGCTGATCTTTTCTCTGTTCTACAGGTCTCCAGCATCAATTCGCGCTTTGCCAAAGTACACATCCTGTATGTGGGGTCCACACCACTTAAGAACTCTTTTCGAGGAACTATCCGGTGAGAAGTATCTTTGTTACATATGCCTTAGCAACTGGAATAGAATGGGAGTCTAGAATTTTGAGGAACAGGTACAATTCCTGTTCTTCTCTTGCCTAATTTTCTTTCTTTGTGCTTTGATTCTCCCTCAGTAATATCCAACACATATGTAGATGATCTAGGACAAAAGGAAAATGTTAAGAAGAGAGGGTTTAAAAGTAAAGCAAAGGCTGGGCACAGTGGCTCACGCCTGTAATCCTAGCACTTTGGGAGACCAAGGCGGGTGGATCTCTTGAGATAAGGAGTCTGAAACCAGCCTAGCCAACATGGTAAAACTCCCTCTCTATAAAAAATACAAAAATTAGCCCAGCGCAGTAGCTCACACCTGTAATCCCAGCACTTTGGGAGGCCAAGGCAGGCGGATCACAAGGTCAGGAGTTCTGGACCAGCCTGGCCAATATGATGAAACCCCGTCTCTACTAAAAATGCAAAAATTAGCCGGGCATGGTGGTGCACACCTGTAGTCCCAGCTATTTGGGAAGCTGAGGCAGGAGAATCACTTGAACCCAGGAGGCAGAAGTTGCAGTGAGCTGAGATTGCACCACTGCACTCCAGCCTGGTGACAGAGCAAGACTCTATCTCAAAATATATATATATATATATAAAAATTAGCTGGGCATGGTGGTATGCGCCTATAATCCCAGCTACTTGTGCGGCTGAGGTGTGAAGATCACTTAAGCCTGGGAGGCAGTGGTTGCAGTGAGTGAGCTGCACTCCAGCCTGGGTGACAAAGTGAACCCTGTCTCAGTCAATCACTAAGTAAATAAATATATGTAAAGCAAAAAGAATGAGTGAAGCTGAAGTTTAGCAGTGTCAGGATGAATCAAACCAAAGTAGAAGGCGTTTTAGGAAGTACTTTTTTTTTAAATTTAATATTGATTGAACTCAGGGGTTCTAAAACATTGAAAAGATTTGTGGGTAAGATGGCAATTTCCTGTGGCTTCTTTGAAAAAGGACAAACATTTCTTGCCAGCCAGATAATCTAACTTTTGAGGCCCTTTCCAGCCTCGGGATTTGATGTGGTTTTGTAGTGTAGCAGTCCCCAACCTTTTTGGCACCAGGGACCAGTTTCTTGGAAGACAGTTTTTCCATAGACCATGGTAGGGGTGGTTGCAGGATGATTCGAGTGCATTATATTTATTGTGTATGTTATTTCTATTATTATTACACTGAAATATATAATGAAGTCATTATACAACTCACCATAATATAGAATCAGTGGGAGCCCTGAGTTTGTTTCCCTGCAACTAGACAGTCTCATCTGGGGGTGACGGGAGACAGTGACAGATTATCAGGCATTAGATTCTCATAAGGAGTGGGAAGCCTAGCTCCCTCATATGCACAGTTCACAATAGGGTTCACACTTCTATAAGAATCTAATGCCTGCTTTGATCTGACAGGCGGTGGAGCTCAGGCAGTAATGTAAGTGATTGGGGAGCAGCTATAAATACAGATAAAGCTTCTGTGGCTTGCCTGTCACCTCCTTCTGTGCAGCCTGGTTCCTAACAAGCCACAGACCCACCACGAGTTGGAGACCCTTGCTTTAGTGCTTCTGTTTATGCCCTGAGGCAATGAAACTCCTTATCCTTTCTTGCCAAATCTGAACTTCGTTTATCTAATCTGAGGTATTGATACTGCTGCTCCACCCTGCTCCTCTGGGTAGCAGCTGGGTCCCAATTAGACTTGTCTGTTCTTCTAGCTCTTTATTTACTAGGAATCTACAGGAAAGTTCTTTCTCACAGTCTGGGCAAGGTGACTCATGCCTGTAATCCCTGCACTTTGGGAAGCTGAGGCAGGTGGATCTCCTGAGGTCAGAAGTTCCAGACCAGCCTGGCCAACATGGAGAAACCCCGTCTTTACTGAAAATACAAAAATTAGCCAGGTGTGGTGGCACACACCTGTAATACCAGCTACTCGGGAGGATAAAGCAGAAGAATCTCTTGAACCTGGGAGGCGGAGGTTGCAGCGAACTGAGATCACGCCACTGTACTCCAGCCTGGGTGACAGAGGGAAACTCTGTCTCAAAGAACAAACAAATGAACAACAAAAAACAAATTCTTTCTCACAGATAATTAATCTTTATGTTAATTCTTTTTTTATAGCAAGGAAGATGTTCGAGCAACTGAAAAAGACAAGGTTGTTGGTTGGTTCTTTTTTTTTTTTTTTTTTTTTTTTTTTAATGGCTTTATGAATCGTAATCCTTTAAAAGTATTATCTCAGGCCAGGCATGGTGGCACACACCTGTAATCCCAGTACTTTGGGATGCTGATGGGGGAGGATCACTTGAGTCCAGTACTTCAGGACCAGCCCTGGCAACATAACAAGACCCCATCTCTACAAAAAGATCAGCATCAGAGTATAAAAATTAAAAACTAGCCGGGCATGGTGGCTCATGCCTGTAGTCCCAGCTGGTTGAGAGAATGAGGCCGGAGGACTGCTTGAGCTGAGGTGTTTGAGGTTATGTGGTGGCATGCACCTGTAGTCCTAGCTACTCGGTAGGCTGAGGCAGGAGGATCCCTTGGTCCAGGAGTCATAGGGTGCAATGAGCTACCATTGCACCACTGCACTCCAGCCTGGGTGAAACAGCAAGATCCCACCCAGGATTGGGGGCAGGCACGGTGGCTTATACCCGTAATCCCAGCACATTGGGAAGCTGAGGTGGGCGGATCATGAGGTCAGGAGTTTGAGACCAGCCTGCCCAACATAGTAAAACCCTGTCTCTACTAAAATTACAAAATTTAGCAGGGCATGGTGGCACACGCCTGTAATCCCAGCTACTGAGGAGGCTGAGGCATGAGAATTGCTTGAACCTGGGAGGCAGAAGTTGCAGTGAGCCAAGATCACACTATTGCACTTCAGCCTGGGCAAGAGAGAAAAACTCTCGGCCGGGCGCGGTGGCTCAAGCTTGTAATCCCAGCACTTTGGGAGGCCGAGGCGGGTGGATCACGAGGTCAAGAGATCGAGACCATCCTGGTCAACATGGTGAAACCCCGTCTCTACTAAAAATACAAAAAATTAGCTGGGCATGGTGGCGTGTGCCTGTAATCCCAGCTACTCAGGAGGCTGAGGCAGGAGAATTGCCTGAACCCAGGAGGCGGAGGTTGCGGTGAGCCGAGATCGCGCCATTGCACTCCAGCCTGGGCAACAAGAGCGAAACTCCGTCTCAAAAAAAAAAAAAAAAAGAGAAAAACTCTCTCTCAAAAAAAAAAAAACTTTGTTTTGTATGATAATACTATAGAAGCAATTAAAAGTTGTTGACTACATGAGTAATGATGCTTTTACTCTCTAGGGCAGGCGTCCCCAAACTACGGCCCATGGGCTACATGCGGCCCCCTGAGACCATTTATCCGGCCCCCTGCCACACTTCAGGTGGTGGTCAGTGAGAGGAGCACAGTATGTGGCGGCCCTCCAACGGTCTGAGGGACAGTAACTGGCCCCCTGTGTAAAAAGTTTGGGGACGCCTACTCTAGGGTTAGAAAGTAGACTGGCTTTACCAGAGGGGTTCACAGTTTCATGTAGACCCAGTCTAGAGCTTTCACTTACCATTCCTGTTCTTTCTTTACAGGTTGAAATTTATAAGAGTTTCCGCCCAGGTGACATTGTCTTGGCCAAAGTGGTATCCTTTATTCCCAGCAGAATTCTGGTCCTTTGTCAAAAGAGATGGAGGCTGGGTGCGGTGGCTCACACCTATAATCCCAGCACTTTGGGAGGCCAAGTTGAGTGGGTGGATCACCTGAGGTCAGGAGTTCAGAGGTCTCCAACCATGTCTCTGCTAAAAATAGAAAAATTAGCTGGGCATGGTGGCGCACACCTGTAATCCCAGCTACTCAGGAAGCTGAGGCAGGAGAATCATTTGAACCCAGGAGGCAGAGGTTGCAGTGACCTAAGATCGCACCACTGCACTCCAGCCTGGATCACAGAGCGAGACTCCATCTGAAAACAAAAAGAAACGAGACGGAAGTAGAAAAACAATTCAGGTGGCTATGGTGGGAGGAAGACTCCTAACTCCTCATTTTCCTTCACCAGCGTTATGTGACTAGATCTCCCTAGGTGACGCACAGTCCAACTACCTGCTAACCACTGCCGAAAACGAGCTGGGAGTGGTGGTAGCCCACAGTGAGTCAGGTGAGGTGGCCTTCTTCCACATCCTTATTTTCCCTGGAGTTGTGCTTTGGGATTAATCCATTGTTTTTCCTGGTTTCGTTATCTGGGAAGCAGTATGGCCATAGATATTTTGTTCTGAGATGAGAATGATTTCTTTTTTTCTTGTTTGTGTGGTGATAGTGGTGGCTGTTGTTTGAGACAGGGTCTCTCTGTCACGGAGGCTGGAGTGCAGTGGTGCAATGGCAGCCTCCACCTCCTGGGTTCAAGTAATTCTCGTCACCCAAGTAGCTGGGATTACAGGCACACACCACCACACCCAGCTAATTTTTTTTTTTTTTTTTTTTTGAGACAGAGTCCCACTCTGTCACCCAAGCTGGAGTACAATGGCGCATTCTCAGCTACTGCAACCTCTGACTCCCAGGTTTAAGCAATTCTCTTGCTTCAGCCTCCTGAGTAGCTGGGATTATAGGCAACTGCCACAGTGCCTGGCTAATTTTTTTGTTTATTTAGTAGAGACAGGGTTTCTCCATGTTGGCCAGGCTGATCTCGAACTCCTAACCTCAGGTGATACGCCCACCTCAGCCTCCCATAGTGCTGGGATTACAGGCACGAGGCCTGACCTGATTTTTGTTTTTTCAGTAGGGACGGAGTTTCACCATGTTGGCCAGGCTGGTCTCAAACTTCTGGCCTCAAATGATCCGCCGGCCTTGGCCTCCCAAAATACTGGGATTATAGGCATAAACCACTGCACCCAGCCTGATTCTCGTTATATAAATCCAAGGAAATGGGACTCACTTCATAAGTCAGTAGAATGAACAAAGTTTATTCTTTATGAGTTGAGGTTCAGTAGGAAGCTTGGTGGCACTTCAGTTTCATACCCAGCATAAAAGAGGAGTCTCCGGCAAATCTTTGGGGCCTGGGCTCCGCTACCAGCTTTTCCCTTCCAGGTGTCCAGATGGTTCCCATCAGTTGGTGTGAGATGCAGTGCCCTAAGACCCACACTAAAGAGTTCCGGAAAGTGGCCCGCGTACAGCCTGAATTCTTGCAGACCTAAGAAGCCACTTTTTACCCCATGGAAGGGGGTAAGCTGTTCCTGAGTACATGTATGACAATAACATGTACTTATCTTTATAAGATGCTGTTGTCTTTATTCAAACAACTGGGGTTGGCCAACAGCCACTTCCAGAAAAATCTACGAGAAGCTTAAGCTGTAGATGGAACACGTTTCTGTCTATCAGTGGATTTCATTTTCTTGAGTGATAAAACTTACCTTTTAGGGGCACCAACAAACTGTGATATTGGAAATAGCCTGTTCATCCTGACAGTCCTTTTACATTTGTAATTTTGCTATGATAAAACTTTTTTACTAAAAGGATGTTATAGTTTCTATTGTCTTAAGCAGAGAAAGCCATCTACCTGGTGTCAAGATATTTCAGTACTTCTGCTTATCCAGTATTCACTATGCTAGGCACCGAGTCAAGCACTTTATATACATCCCCCTCATTTAGGTACATTATGGTTTAATGAAAATTCAAGGACGTGGTGATACAAATAGCATGTGAGACAGATGTGGTGGCTCACACCTATAAATCTCAGCACTTTGGGAGGCTGAGGTAGGTGGATCACTTGAGGTCAGGAGTTTGAGACCAGCCTGGCCAACATGGTGAAACCCTGCCTCTACTAAAAATACAAAAATTAAATAAAAAAAAAAAATTAGCCAGGTGTGGTAGCACATGCCTGTAATCCCAACTACTTGGGAGGCTGAGGCAGGAGAATTGCTCGAACCCTGGAGTGGAGGTTACAGTGAGTTGAGGTTACACCACTGCACTCCAGCCTGGGCGACAGAGTGAGACTGTCTAAAAAAAGTAGCATGTCTAGGAGGCTGAGGCAGGAGAATTGCCTGAACCCAGGAGGCGGAGGTTGCGGTGAGCCGAGATTGCGCCATTGCACTCCAGCCTGGTAACAAGAGCGACACTCTGTCTCAAAAAAAAAAGTAGCATGTCTAAAAGTATTTGATACACATTACCAATATAGGGGGTACTCCAGGAAATGTTTGTTAAATCTAAATTGAAAAGTGAGACAGAGTACTGACAGGGGGTGGCCAGGAAAGGATTAATGACATGAGATCAAAAGAAATTAAAGAACGTAACGGCCGGGCGCGGTGGCTCAAGCCTGTAATCCCAGCACTTTGGGAGGCCGAGGCAGGTGGATCACGAGGTCAAGAGATCGAGACCATCCTGGTCAACATGGTGAAACCCCGCCTCTACCAAAAATACAAAAAAAAAATTAGCTGGGCATGGTGGCACATGCCTGTAATCCCAGCTACTCAGAAGGCTGAGGCAGGAAAATTGCCTGAACCCAGGAGGCGGAGGTTGCGGTGAGCCGAGATCACGCCATTGCACTCCAGCAAGAGCGAAACTCCGTCTCAAAAAAAAAGAACTTAAGTAAATGAAGATAATCAAGGCAGAGAGATGAGCCCAGGCTAAGTGCAGAAGCAGAAATGAAGGCATAAGTTTGGGGATGAGGAAGGGATGAGGGTTAAGTATGGAGAGATTGCTGATGAAATGTAAATCTGAGTTGTCACTTGAAGTGTTAGGAAGACCGTATCTTCAGTATTTAGTGATGGTGCTTAATGTGAGCTTTACAATCATCCCACCTAATTTGTATCCCCTTGTTGCCAGGCTTGAACATGTTAGGGTTTCTTTAATGGAAAATTTTGCTGAGATTGAGATCATTGTAGATCCACATGCAGGTTTTGTGTTTTTGTTTGTTTTCTTGAGATGGAGTCTCACTACTGTCACCTAGGCTGGAGTGCAGTGGCGTGATTTCAGCTCACTGCAGCCTTCACCTTCCAGGTTCAAGCAGTTCTGCCTCAGCCTTCCCAGTAGCTGGAACTACAGGCATGTGCCATCACACAAGGCTAACTTTTGGTAGAGACAGGATTTCACCATATTGGCCAGGCTGGTCTCGAACTCCTGACCTCAGGTGATCCGCCCACTTTGGCCTCCCAAAATGCTGGGCTTACAGGTGTCAGCCACCACACCTGGCCTTTTTTTTTTTTTTTTTTTTCCCCATATGTACAATTTTTTTTAGAGACAGGGTCTCACAATGTCACCCAGGCTGGAGTGCAGTGGTGCTGTCAGCTCATTGCAGCCTCAAACACCTGGGCTCAGGTGACCCGCCAAGTAGCTGGGACTACAGGCACACACCATCATGCCCGGCTAATTTTTTTTAATCTTTTTCAAATGGTCATGGCTAATTTTTTTTAATAGAGACCCATGGTCTTGCTATGTTGCCCAGGCCAGTCTCAAACTCCTGGCCTCAAGTGATTCTCCTTCCTCAGCCTCCCTAAATGCTGGGATTACAGGTGTGTACCACTGTGCTGGCAAAAATTATCAATTTCTGGCCTAGGATTCTGCATAGCCTAGGAAATTACATCCCACCAGGCTCTTGGAGACTGAAATTACTTAAGGATAGTGTGTAAGTGAAATGAAAATCTAAAGTTGAAAAGCAAGATGCAGGCACAGTGGCTCACACCTGTAATCCCAGCACTTTGGGAGGCTGAGGCAGGCAGATCACCTGAGGTTGGGAGTTCAAGACCAACCTGACCAACATGGAAAAACCCTGTCTCTACTAAAAATAAAAAATTAGCTGGACATGGTGGCGCATGCCTATAATCTCAGCTACTTCATAAGCTGAGGCAAAAGAATCTCCTGAACCCAGGAGAAGTTTGCAGTGAGCCCACATTGCGCCAGTGCACTCCAGCCTGGGCAATAAGAGGGAAGCTCTGTCTCAAAAAAAAAAGAGAAAAGAAAAGCAAGATGCTTGAAAGTATTTAAATCTTAGAATAAGGACCTTGATTTGTTTGAATCGGTATCTACCCCAACCCCAGTACCAAGTGGTATGATATTTGATGCTTTTTACCTGTTTCTTTTGGGCCTGTTTTCTCTTTTATAAACAGGAGTTACCAGTCCTTTCGTGGGTTGTCAATATTAGAGCCAACCTATATAATATCCCTCACCCAGTGGGTGGCACCGAGGAGCTTCATTAGACGCTGAACAGATGGAGGGTGTTACTTGCTCCTACCAGAAGGGAAAGGGAAGGTTTTCTCCAGCTTTATGGGCTTTCCTGTATTCCAGTGATCTTTTCAAAGGAGAGAGAAGGTGATTGTGTTTATAATGTAATTATACTCCTTTTCCACTGTACCAAGTCACTTTTTGAGGTCATCTTTAATTTTCAAAGAGCCAAAAAGAAAGGTATGAATCAAGTTTACAAGTTGGTAACAGGAAAGGGTTAAACAGACAAATTCTGAGGCCTGCACAGTGGCTCATACCTGTAATCCCAGCACTTTGGGAGGCCAAAACTCATTCAAGACCAGCCTGGGCAACATGGCAAAATCCCATCTCTATTAAAAATACAGAAATTAAGTGGGCATGGTGGCATATGCCTGTGGTCCCAGCTACTCGGAAGGCTGGGGCGGGAGGATCACTTCAACCTGGGAGGTGGAGGTTGCAGTGAGCTGCGATCACGCTACTACACTCCAGCCTGTGCAGCCTGTGCGGCACAGCCAGCCGGTTTTGTGGGGGAAAAAAAAAACTGACAAAGCAGACTTTACTTAAAGAGGATGTAATGGAGTTTCAGAATTTAACTTTTCAATCAGATATTCAGTAACCAGGGGGGCACCAAGCAAGAACTGCAGGGAACAACAGAAATGGAGGCCTGCCACCCCTTCCTCAGCCCAGCAGGCTGACATTTTGAAAACCCCATTTTTGGACCAACCGTGTAAAGTTGTGACTGGGTGTCCTAAAACAAACTACCACACAAGGACTAGGGTAGTTAGAGACATTTCAAGTTAAATGCTAAGGCTTCCTCAGATAAGGTTTTCCACATCACACAGGAAACTATTGCACATCACTCCTTTATTATACTGATCTGGAAAAAGGATTTAGTACAGTTATGCTCAAAGAACACTGGACCCATGTGGCAGAGCAAAGCAACTAGAACATGATTCAGAAATCAGTGAGACACTTGGACAGGACCAAGAGGCATTTCACTGCAACAAAACAAGGTGGGGAGGGATTCAGAAACACAGCAGGAAGCACTCCTGCCCCTCAGAGGTCAAGGAGCTGATCCCATATTGGTATGAGGAATGGTTTATATTCCGATGACCATATGTGGTACTATTTCAACCGCCACAAGAAACCCCAAAAGGGTTATTGTTTTGTACTATTTATATATACTATACTTTTTTATATATATAAAAGTAAATGTAACACCTAAACTAAATTCAGGATTCATCCCAACCTTCTAGAGCCAGCTTCTCTGGGGTCAGAGAGGAAACAGTTGTCACATCACCATGCAGGTTACATTCATCTGCCACTGGAATGACTACAGCCCCCAGGCAGTGGCCTGACTGCCAACAAGCAGAGGACTGGCTCCTTGGGGTAGACAGGCTCTCTTGCTTCTCTTCATTGATCACAGCCTAGCATGTTCCTCCCTTCAAGTCTTTAGTAAACAAAGCACTTGCAAAAGCCCATCACTACCTTTCAACTCTCTTGGATAAGGGGAGCCTTTCTACAGCTTGGACTGAGAACCTGTGCCCTAGAAGTGCAATTCTGACTAGAATGTATGAAGGGAGTGGGTACAGGAGACAAAATGGCTAAAATGAAACTGGGAGCCACCAATCCCCATCTGCAGCTACAACTCAAGATGTCTACAGATGTGGTCAGTGTGACATGTGCAGGAGGGAGGGGTAGAGGGATGCAACAGGCAGGGAGGGTGCTCCTGGGGACAGCAGCCTGCCCGCTGGCCTTCATTTCTTGGCCTTCCCCTGGGCAGCCACAGCTTCCATGGCTTTACGCACGGTCTCTTCATCCCCCAGGAACTGCATGGGCTTGATGGGTTTCAAATTCTTGTCCAATTCATAGACAATGGGAATACCAGTTGGCAAGTTCAGCTCCATGATAGCCTCTTCAGAGAGACCTGAAAACATCCACCATGATCAGCCACACAAGACATAAATCCACATCACCCCTCCAGGTTTACTCTTTTTCCTCCATGTGACAAAGGACTTTGACAGAATTAAAGTAAGACACCCTTTCTGATCTTTATAGTAGTTCTGAACCCAGGGAATGGCCCCTACCATGCTTATTTCTCAGCCGTTAAACTGAAAAGCAAGAAAAAGTATACAAGATGGACCACCAACAAACTACAGCAAGATCTATGGCCAGATATCTCTACCAAAGTGGGATCTAGAAGCTCATAGTGAAGCCAGATTATACACATCTCAGATATCCTGTGTCCATCCAACCAAAAATCAGCACACATGGGCCTCTAGGCCTCGGGGGTGAAACAATTT